TTCTACAAACTTATCAAAAAGAACAAAAACCAATTCAAGAGGTATAAATCATCACACATAATACAATCAATGTGTATATATATATGTATAATATTTTACATATAAATAATTGATTTATATATTTATGGTAATTAGGTTTATGCACAAGTTCAAGTACTTTTCAATAATGCGCCAGATCTTTTAGATGAATTTAAACAGTTTTTACCAGATATTTCAGGAAATACTCCACAAGGTGGTTTGTTTAGTCAGATCTCTCAAGGATACGGTAATTTATCTCCTCCTCTCCATTTTTTTTTGTTTCATCTTCACCTATCACACTATTAATATATTGATAATAAAAAATCAAAATCGATCAATAATCTATGTGCTTGTTGATGTATAGGTCTTTCTGCTGCTACTCGTTTACCTCCTGTTGGAAGTTTTCCATCATCCCCATCAGGCCTTGCAATTAACGCTGATTCATTTAGAAAAAGTTCAATACCGGGTGGTGGTGGTCCATCCACCAATTCAAATTCGTTGAGTGCAAATGGTATTGCTACTGCCGCTGCCGCTGCTGCTGCCGCCGCCGCTGCTGCTACAAATACTACTAAAAAAAAAAGATCAGCTGTGCCTGGAACTGATCGAAATCTAGGCGGTCTTTCTGGAAAAGTAGTTATATAATAAATTATTTTATTTTATTTATTGAAGATTAGTGATTATTTAATTTTTGTAATCATTCTAATTATATATTCATATTTATATATAGACTAAAAAATCAAAAATTTCACATAAATTGCTTGATCAATCTCATGTTGGCACATCTTTATCCAACGTAAAAACTGAACCACATCATCACCATTATAGTTATGGTCAACCAAATTATTCTAAATCATCCGAAAGAAATAGGTCGCCTCCAGCTAATGCGTCTGAAGAAGAGTTGGCTTTTTTTGAAAAAGTTAAAAGAATTATCAACAGTAAACCTGTCTACTGTGAATTCCTTAAACTTATCAACCTATACTCTCAACAAATATTAGATTCGCAGGCTCTTGTCAAAAGAGTCTCTGCCTTTATTGGTCATAATGCTGAATTATTTGAATGGTTTAAACAATATATAAAATATGAAGAAAAAGATGAGATTGTACAAAATACTGCTTCTTCTAGACCACGTGTTGACTTGGAAGGATGTATATCACATGGCCCAAGTTATCGTCAATTACCGTCATCAGTAAGTATTCACCAAGCTTCAAATGTCGTTATTGTCAACAATATACTAATATATCTACGTGTGTATGTGTGTGCGATATTAGGAGGCAAATTCGCATTGTTCTGGCCGGGATGAAATGTGTTATGAGGTTTTGAATGATGAATGGGTTTCGCACCCTACATGGGCGAGTGAAGATGCTGGATTTGTGTCACATAAAAAGAATCAATATGAAGAAGCATTACATAAATGTGAAGAAGAAAGGTTTGCAGTTTATCTTATTTTATTTAAATTTTTTTTTTACATTTATTATTTTACATTTATTATGTTTATTCGTTTATACATACGTACATGCATATCAATTTTTAATCATTTATATATAGATATGAATATGATATGTTTGTTGAAGCAAACCAACACACTATAGCTTTATTAAGCCCAATTGATAGACAAATTAGTAGGATGTCAGCAGAAGAGAAGAGTAAATTTAAACTTGAACCTGGTCTTGGCGGAAAATCAAGGATATATCAAAAAGTGATAAAGAAAGTTTATGATCATGATAAAGGTCTTGATGTTATTGATGCATTACACAACAATCCAGGTGCTGCTGTTCCGGTGGTACTTAAACGTCTAAAACAAAAGGACGAGGAATGGAAACGTGCAAGAAGAGAATGGAATAAAATATGGCGTGAAATTGAAGCTAAAAATTTTTACAAGTCACTTGATCATCAAGGAATTACTTTCAAAAACGATGACAAGAAAGTGCTTACTCCTAAATATTTGATTTCTGAAATTGAGAATATTTGTCGCGAAAAGGCCCATCATGATGGAGATACACTTGAATATCAATTCAAATTTTCGTTCAAGGATTTGGATGTATTTAAAGATATCTATAGAATTATTTTCTTTTACATTGATCGATCTGGTACTTTTGCACTTAGTGATCGTGATAAAATTGAAAAATTTCTAAATACATTTCCACCAAGTTTTTTTGGTCTACCACCAACATTCTTTCAAATGTCAGGTCATGATGATACTGCAATGATAGTAGACATGGACACCAACAGTAATAATATTGACATAGTAGCGAGTAATAATAATAACGGTGGCAACAATAATCGCGACGTAGTATTGAATAATAATATCAATGTCACCAATAATAATGACAATGAGGATGATATTGAGAATAATATTAGTAGTATTAGCAGTATTAGTAATAGTAATAGTATTAGTATTAGTAACAGCAGCAATAATGGTGGTAATGATACAAATAATATAAATAACATAATTACTAACAACAATATAACTACTAACAACAATATAACTACCAATAATATTAACACTACCAACAATAATAATCTTACCAATGATTTTAATATTACTAACAATGATTTTAATAATAATAATAATGCTAACGCTAATGGTGAAGTTATTACTAACGGGATTGGTGATCATAAAGAAGAAGAAGAAGGAGGAAGCAACAACAACAACAACAACAACAACAACAACAACAACAACAATGTTGTTGATGATGTAAAAGAGGAAGATTATACTAATGTTAATATTAACGTTAATGAAAATATAAATTATAATGATAATGATGAGGACAAGGAAGATGATGATAATTATGATAATTCAAGTAGCATGGATATTGATATTACAAAAGGACCATTAGCCACTGAACCAATAAACTGTTCGTGGATTCAAGTATCAGAAGAGGTTAAAGATAATATTCGTCAAGTTGTTACTAACGCTGGTAATACTCGATATAAAAAGAAAACGACATGTTATTTCTTTGGAAATACTGCTTTTTACTGTTTCTTTAGATTCCTACAAGTTAGTATTTATCTTTTTTTTAAAAAACTTAATTATACAATTGTATTTATTGATTAACACACACACACACACACATTGCTTGCAGATGTTATTTGAACGTCTTGAAAAAATGAAAGCAGTAGCACAAAATGAACTTTCATCTGCTTCTCATACTAGAAAACTTAATCCTGCTGCTACGGAACTTGGTGTCCAGAATAATTTCCTTGACCGTAATTATTATTTATGAAATATTTATTAATTCATTAATTTCTTCAGTTTATATATTCACCTTAATTCATTTTAATAATCAATTATATAATTATTATTATTTTAGCCGATGTAGATTTAGATTTAAATAAAGGAGATCCTTACACAGTTATGCTCGAATTGATTGAAAAACAATTTGATGGTGAGATGGACCTAGCAACATTTGAAGAATGTCTCCGTTATATATATGGTACTAAAGCATATATCATGTTTACTGTCGATAAGCTTATTCAAAATATAACAAAACAGGTACTTTATTTTTATTAATTTATGTGTGTGTGTACAATAAATATATTAAAATATTTATCTATTAATATTATTGTAAACTTTAGATACAAGTTATAGTTTCAGATTCCAAGTCAGCATCACTTATTGAATTATTTGAAGAAAATAAAAAATTATTAGATCCAACAAGTGGTCGTTCTCATATAATGTATCAATTGCATGCTAACAATACAATTGGTTATGAAGAACACACTTATAGAATTGATTATGTAGTTATTCTTTTTATTGCTATTATTACTATTACTACTAAAGAAAAAAACATTGGTAAGAAATAATTATTAATCACAATTAATCCTTTATTTATAGGACACTGAAGAAAAAAATATGACAATACTTTTATCTGGCAGTGATTATACAATAGGTAGTACAGTTTCATCGGAAGAAAGATGGGCATATTATATGTACAGTTTTATGTCTTTAAATCCTACTGAAGGTTTAAATAGCAGGAAGAAAAAACCATTTTTGAAAAGGTAAAAAAAAATATTTTTCATTTCGTTTTCGTTTTCATTTTAATTTTAATTTTCATTCAAATTTTTAAAATTTTTATATATTTAGAAATCTTCCATCATTTCGAAGAACAGAAGATTTAGTGACAACTGCAGAAGTTCATAATGGTCTGGAGGTTAAAATATGTTTAAATTCATATCATATATTCTTTGTCAGTAATACAGAAGATAATTTCAGACGATATCAAAGTGGTGTTTCTAAAGAAAAAATGGAACAAGATACTTCAAGACGTTTGGAGTTATGGCAAAACTGGCTTAAAGCTCAAGAAAAGTGTTTATCATTAAATGAAAACAATTAAAGTTGGAATAGCATTGTCAATTACTAGCGGGACTGGATTGTCTCTTTATTATGTGCTTTAAATAAGTTAATATATATCTTTAAAGAGAAATACAATCAATAATAATTTCTGTTAAATTAAATAATTAATTAGTTGGTTAGTTGATTGATTATATAATTCTTTTTATATTTTATTTTATTTTATTTTTCCTATTTAGCAAAATGTATGATTTTTTATACTTTTTTTATAAAAAAAAAATATGTATAAAGCTTTTATTTTTTTTATTTTTTTTTTTATAAATTTAATATTGTTATTTATTAATAATTAATTAATATATTAATAATAAAAAGTATTTTCGCAACATGGTTTTTTATCTGTAAAAAAATTATTTCCAATAGTGTATTTATAATTAGTTATAAACCTCAAGATTTTTATTAATTGAAGCTGACCTTGATCTAAAATTGAAAATAATTTTTCCGTTAATTGAACCATAATTGCTTCTTTTACCACATTACATATCACCTGAAAATTCCGAATTTTTTTGATTATCTCCAAATTAAGTAAAAGGATTCCAAATTAAGAACAAAATATTCCAAAATTAGACAACTATTTGTAGACAAGCAAAAATAGTAGAGAGTTAATTGAAGAGATAAATTATAAAATTAAATTATGACTAACGAAAGAACAATTTTACTTGTAGGCAGAACTGGTAGTGGAAGATCCTCTCTAGCAAATGTGGTTAGTAATACTAATAACTTCAAAGAGAGCGAATATGGAGTTAGTGAGTCAAGTGGTGCACAGATCGGACATTTTCGTTTAAAAGGAGAAGATATGATTTATCATATAATTGATACCATTGGAATTGGAGATAATCGTTTTACTGAGGCGGAAACTTTGAATAGACTAGCCAATGCAGTTAATGGAGTCCAAGCAGGCTTAAATCAAATTTTTTTTGTAGTCAGTGGCAAGTTTATGGAAGAAGATGTAAAAGCATTTACTTTATTACGCACTGTTTTTTTTGGAGAGGATATTGGTAAATATACTACTATTGTTCAGACTAAATTTTCTAGTTTTCGTGATCCAGAAAAGCGTCGTAAAAATAAAGAGGTAATAATGAGCCAAAGCGAAGATGCTGCTGCTATATTGCGTTCTTGCCGGCGGCTTATTCATGTGAATAATTTGACTGAGCAAGAAGATTCTCGACAACGAGCTCGGAATGACTCTCGGGCTTTTTTGCGAAATTATTTGTCTGCTAATTGTCAAAATGTTTACCAACCAAGCAATTTGGGTGAAATGAATGAAAGAATTAGAAACTACTTAGCTGGAAGAGCAGGAGGTGACAGATATCAAAGTCAAATCAACCAACTTATGAGAGAAAATCGAGAACTTCAAGAACAGTTAAATCAGTCTATTACCCAACAAAGCCAGCAGCAACTTCAAGATCGACTTTTTGGTTTTCCTGGAAGAAAATTTTAGAATCTTTAGGATTGAACTTTCGCTAATGAACTTTGCTTTTGGTCAGTCTTTTCAATAATCAAAAAAGTAGTAAAGCCGAAAAATACATACCTACTAAAATCCAAAAGAGTCAAGAATAAAAAAATTACTTTTATATTTTACATCTGTCAAATTATTTCACATAATCATTATCTTTGTTTCATATCTTAATAAACATTATCATTATTACTTCATTATTCGGAATACATTAAATTGACAAAACTGATGAAAAGATGAAATAAATCTACATGACATAATTTCAATAATTAATTCAACTGAGGAAGACCAAAATCAAGAAGAAATAATTGAAGAATTTTCACCTGTTACAAATAAAGAAGCTTTATCAGCAATGAAAACATTAGATGTTTACATTGAGCAACAATTTGAAAAGTTGCAATTAAGTGAGAACGAATTTAAATCATTAAAAAGCCTTAAAAGAAAAATTAAAAAAATCAATTTTGATTCACATCAACAATTAACATTAGATGGCTTTCTTAATACTGAATAAATGATTAATATTTTATTTAATAACGAATGCATAAAAATATAAATAAAAATCTTGTTTCACATTATGAATTGATTACATGATTATGATCTGCAAATTCTCTATAACGGCCTTTTTTGCCGCCGTTATAGATAGTGTAATTCCAAGCCGATCATACTATATTAAGTATTAGTCACGAGTACTCGTGCAGATCCCTCGTGACTACAATCAATCATATATTAATATACATTTGCTGACTAAAATTCCTCACATTAATATTAAAAAATGGCTTTACCGTTACCCTCACCAGCAATTCTAGTTAATAATGATAATTCAAATGACCAAATAATTACGGAAACTACAATTGCACAATCTAGTGCAATAAATGGCAGTACCCTTATGAATAGTAGTTCTACTTCAACATTATCGTTACGTATTTATACTTCAACACCTCAACCAGTAGACTCAACATCGACCTCTGCACAGCAAATACCACCATCAAGTGATAAAGTAACAGCGGTTTTTGATTTTACTTCAACTGATCCGCTTTCTTTAGAAAATAGTCGAAAGTCTGAGGAAGAAATTAGAAAGAATAAGAAAAAAAAGATACAAAAATTTTATAGAGATCAGAATGAACTCATTGATGAGCTATTAAGTCCAATTGAACAAAACTCCAGTGCTAAATCATTAAAAAAACGCAATTTAAAGGTGAAGAAATAACTTCCACCATAATATGTATTATCTAATTATAATAACATTTTTATTCATTTTATAGTTGAAAATAGCAATATATGGATCGATGGTTGTGAATATATGTTTATGTGCTTTACAATTATATGCTGCAATAACAACTAAATCGCTTGCATTGTTTGCAACTATGGTGGATTCTTGTATGGATTTATTGTCAAATGGTATTCTATTATTTACTGGTAGAGCTGCTAATCGCAAAAATCTTTTAGTATATCCAACTGTAAATAAACATTATATATATATATGTATGATGTAAATTATTAAATTATATATTTTACATATGTAATTTATGTATTATAATTATTTATATTATAAAAGGGAAAAGCGAAAATGGAAACAGCAGGAATTATTGTATTTTCATCACTTATGATAGCTTTATCAATTGAAATATCAATTGAAGCCATCAAAGCACTGATTAATCATGATAATCCTCCTGAAGTCTCAGAGATTGCCATAATTTGTATTGGATGTGCATTAGGTAAGTGAGTGATGATTGCGATGTTGGTGATATGTCAGTAATATACAATATATAAAAATCTAATAATACATATAATCTATTAATAATGTGAAATATATAAAATCTAATATACTACAACTATAATTGTGCCAATTAAAGGGGCAAAATTTATATTATTTTTATATTGTTATAGTTTACGAGATAATGCATCATCTCAAGCATTAGCACAAGATCATCGAAATGACTTGGTGATAAATAGTTTTGGATTAACCATGTCATTGTTATCAAGTAAAATCGAGTGGTGGATAGATCCTGCCGGTGCTATTACAATATCTTTGTTTATATTAAAAAGTTGGACTACTACAGCTTACGGTATTTTTTTTTTTTTTTTTTTGGTAGAGGAGATAAAATTGACTTTTTATTTATAAGGTGAAGTTTCATTATTATTATTTTATTAGAACAAATTCAATTAATTGTTGGTAAGAGTGCAAGTCGAGAGTTTTTACAACGTGCAACTTATATAGGTAAGAAAGAAGAACAAAAATATGAATCAATAAAAAAGTATTATAATATAATAACCATTCATCTCCCTTCTTCTCTTTCAACACACCCTGATGTGTCTTTATCAGCGTTAACTCATCATGAAAAAATATTACAAGTCGATACTTGTAGAGCATACCATTCTGGCTACAAATTATTTGTTGAAATTGATATAGTGATGGATCGTGATACACCATTATGGGAAAGCCATGACGTTGGCGAGGGCCTACAAAACAAATTGGAGAAATTAACTAATGTTGATAGAGCCTTTGTACATGTTGATTACGAGTCAAGTCATAAACCTGAACATCAAAAAGAAGAATAATTTTTTTTAAAAATAACTTTTTTTTTTTGAAAATTTATTAATAACGAATAAATTAAATATACGAAAACATAAAATAAATTTTCCATGCATAATATAAATATATGATGGTTTTCATGTTTTCAAATATATTTATTTGAGTAAGAGTCTTACGATAATCAAGGTTTTTGTTTGTAGATCCCTCCCATAGGAAGGTGAATGAAAGTGGTCAAAGAATTTAATTCTTTATTAACTCTTTAAATAGGATGCAATTGCTATATTTGTTATTGAGAATTATATTGATTCTTTTTAAAATCAAGATTGAAAGTGATTGTTGAACAAATAATAATAATATTCTAAATCATAATAATTTTTCGCAATAATAATGGTTTTTTTTACAAATAGTTAATTATCCTTTAAAAAAAGTCTATAATTGATAATGTGAAATCATCCTAGAAATTTTTTGATTTACTCTCTGTTTCAAAAATCAACATCCGCCATAATTTCATTACAAAGAGCTCTGATTCTTCATCTAATGTCTATTGAAAAAAACAATAGAATAATTAATTTCTTTTAAAAAACACGCAAACAAATAAATTCAAAATCTAAATACCATTTCCATTTCTTTTATTAATTGTGATGCAGATTTTTTACTACGAAGATGATCCATTACAAATGAAACCAACTCATCTTCTTGCACACCAAGATATTCTACTATTTTTTTACTAACAAATGGCTTTAATTTCTTATCAATGATTGCCTATAAAATAAAAAACCAAATCAACAAATAATAATTAAATTTTTATTTTATTAGTTACAATTAATGAAGGTTAATCACCTCATCCAACTCTTCCCATTTAACATTCCATTTCCATAAACCTTCTTTATTGGTAGGAATAATTTCTACCAAATCTTTGATCTTTTTTCTTCTTTCCTCATTTTTCTTTTCATCATCATCATCATCATCGCTATACTCCAATGGAACCAAAACTCTATGTTTTCTCCTATGTTCACTCTCATCATCATCATCATAATATTCTTCATCCTCAGCTGGTGCAATAACAGCAGGACGACGTTTTGAAGAAATGTTCAGTGTGAGCTTAGCCTTAATATTATTGTTTTGTGAAACACTAGATGCTGCTATTAATGAGGAATCTTTTTTGGAATTTTCTTCAGCCTCCATGGCTTTTATTTGTTGTCTCTTTTCTTCTTCAATTGTATGCTCCCATTCTAATCGACGTTTCTCTGCCTCAATCTCCTGTTGCTCTTTCTGCCTATCTTGTTCGTCCATAGCTAGTTCACGTGTTCTATATTGTTGTCTATGAAACCACCAACGAGATCTATGTGATATAAATGATTAACTGTAAATCATATCATCAATTAACTGATTAATTCTTGAAGCACCAGACGCAACTAACCTATCTCTATAATATTCTTCTTGTCCTGTTTCTGCCTCAATATCATCATCCAATTCAGACAATTTTCTTGCCATTAATTCACGATCACGTATTTGTTTTTCTCGAATATTTAACTCACGTTCTGAATCACGCTCTCTATTTCCTGCAATAATTTCCTCTCTATGTTGCCAACGACGTTCCCTCTAGAATAACAATAAAATAACAATAAATTATGTATATATGTAGAAGATTCACGTCTTCAAATAATAATAATAATAATAATAATAATAATCTTACTTCTTTAAAAGCCATTTCCATTTCAGTTTTCCTTTTTGCCTGTCTTCTTTGTTCCTCTTCTTCATCGTCAAGAATATATGACTCACGCCTTGACTCTTTAGCAGGAACAAAATTAATAGGTTGGTTATGATATGAACGTTCTTTGTTCTCCCTATGTTCTCTATCATGAGAAGAACGTTCTTTAGATTGTTCAGCTTTTGCACGTCTATTTGAGCGTTCCTCTTCTTCGCGTTGACGCTCCCGTTCTCTTGCAGCTGCACGTTCTCTGAAAAATGCTATCTCTCTATAAATGAGATCTTTTTGTTCTGGTGGTAAATCTGATGGCAAATCTGTTTCTTCATTTTTTTCTGTTGATTCAATAGGGGTTTTTTGTTCAATAAATTGTGAAGATTTTATATTATTATTGCTATTGTTATTATCGTTAATATTATCTAGTTGTGCTGGTGGTGAAACTGGTTTTTCTTTTACCTCTTGAGGTGGCTTGGTCATTTCCTCTACCACATTTATAACAGCAAGTAATGCATTTTTATCAAGTTCAGTATCATGCTGTATATAAACGTGTGTATAATAATTAGCATTTGATTTCAGTTTATAAATTAATATATTTTAAAAAACAAACCACTGTTCTTGGTCTTGATGCTTCATATTGATCCAAATATTTTCTAGTGTTTTCATCAACTTTAACCTATAAACACATACATGTCATAATAATCCAAATTGTTAAAATCGACATAATTTTGTTTTCTTTTTTTTTAAAATAAAGAAAAAACTTACTATTAATTTTTTTTTGGTAGCACCTTCTTCCAATGCAGGTAATATAACTCCTTTATCTTTTTTATCATCACCTCCAAGAACGCGTAAAGCTCGTAAAACACTATCAGCATCTGTATATTCAGCAAAACCAAAACCTTTGGGGTTTCCTGATTGATCTTTGACACGTTTCCAAGATTTTAGTGTACCACAAGTCTTTAAAATTTTTCATCAATGTATATATATATATGCATATTTAATTATTTTTATGAAAATGATCGATAATACAAAATTTAAAAGATCAGCTATTATGTTAAAAAAATTTGCACACCTTTTTTTTTTTAAAAAAAAAAAAGTATTATTTCCCAAGTAAATCATATCAAATTTTTAAAAATTTTGAATTTAAATTCTCAAAAGTTATCTGTCAAAGAAAATCTTTAGCGACTAAATTGCAGGTATATATGTGTGTATTGATGGCCTTTATAATAAAGGAATATGATCAAACCTCCTAGTACATTGTTCCTCTAATAGCCTACATATATATATATATATATATATATATATATATATACATGTGTGTGCGTGTGCGTGTTCAAACAAGGTATTTTTCCCTTTAATTTCATACAGATTTTTGATTCTTTTTAAAGTATCATCAACTTTTGTTGACATAATGTCAATCAATATATATACGTATAATATTTTTTCTTGCTCCCAACCAAATCTAATATAATTCATGAAACAATACCTTTAAAATTTTTTCCATCCAATCATCAATAACACCAGCGGATATCCCACCAATAAATAGTGTTGTTAACTTTTCTACTTCCGATCCTGGAGTGGCAGCCATATGACCTGTATTTCCACTAATTTGCATATGTCCATAATTTGGTCTATAATTTGGTCGAATGTAATTTGGTCTTGTGGATTGTTGATGTACATAAGATTGATTAGCTGGCGGAATAAAAGATTGACGTTCGTATGGCGGTCGGTATTGATCTATTAAGTTTTAAATTTTGAAATAAAGCATAAAAGCTCCTTTTTTTATTTTTACTATATTATTATTCTGCAAATAATAGAAAATAATAGTTACTGTAAGTTGGTGGTCTGAATGGATCCATAATTATTATGGATTTTAGAATTTAAAAAAAAATTTTTTGTTTATAAAATTCACAGTCACACAACATATTATGTTTGTGTAACATATGTTCTATAAAAATATCCCAATTTATCTCGTCGCCTGCAGGATTCGAACCTGCGCGTCCAATGGACAATGGCTTAGCAGGCCACCGCGTTAACCACTCCGCCAAAGCGACTAGTTTTGCTTAAAATGGACGAATAAATTCATTAAAAAGTTTATAAACATTCCTAAATATTGTAATGATAGACAAAAATGATTGGCTAATTTTAAGCAGATCTTTTCTTTGAAAAAATAAAAATAAAGCTTTTTTATGAAGAAAACTTGGCAAAGGCTTTATTAAATGGTCATATAACCTCCAAAATTATGTATTATATTTATTTTTAACTGCTTTACAAGTCTATCAAAAAATAATCATTAGCTTCAAATTATAATTATAAAATTACCATAAAAACTCAATAACTTTTTTCATAATACTGATGAAATGTTTGAGTTATCATTGACATCAGGAATCTTGTTATTAAAATTAATAAAATTAATAAATAGTATCATGAAATATAAAGCTTTTTGGATATAAATAAAGTCCATGCCAAATTTTGTATGTGTGTTTATATATATATATTTACTTCTTTACCTGCTTATCTATCACTCATTCACTGTTTGTGAGTCAGGTGAACTGTATAATTCTCACATAAAATAGTCTTTGACTGCAATCAACTACTAAACCCAGTGTGATTGATTCCCAGCCCTTCTAATGATTAATGGTCTGGCTAACCTTTAATTATTAGTTGGGACCCCTTTGGAATATAAATGGATACATTAACTTAAGGATCTTTTATCCAGGCTTCGGGTTGTAAGTTATTGGCTGTAAATCAGAGGTTCTAGGAAAACCAGACATGTGCTATAGATAGGCTATCTAGCAGTGTTCCATGTTGCGATCCAAAAAAGGAAACAAAATGGTTGTAAAGGTGGTTGCAACCAGTAGTTGCAATCATTTTTATATGATGAAAGATAGTAGCAACCATCATCAAAAGTTACAGCTAGTATCCTTAGGTGTTGTATTAAGCAGAACTTAGGCCTTCTATTGGTATGTGTTTTATAAGCCAGAAATAGTTTTGGTGGCCAGAAAAGGGATTAAAGTCAGATAATCAAAAATTTTAATAATGAATTTCAATTTATCTATATATAACTTAAACAAATTTAATTGCTGATTCGTGAATAAATCAGAGAAATGATTGACATTTTAATATAAAATTTTGGTGCTAATTGTTATTAATAAAATAAGAAAATTCCCAAATATCACTGTCCTCACACATTAACTCTCATGTCTACACAAAAAGTATAAAGAACAACCCTAGAATTCTTTCAAGATCATTGAATACTACTTTAAAATTCTTTTTCAGTTATTTTATTAGCTTGACTTATAAAAACATGTGGTTCACTTGGTAAAATAAAAGTTTTTTGTTGATAAACCGATAAAAAAAAAAGTATAGCTCTGGTCAGAATACTTGATAGTGTTGGCTGAAAATTAAAAAATTCCAAATTTTTATATGTTATGAACTTCTTGAATCTCAGCTTCCTACATATAAAAGTTTTCAAGAGCCCTTTAATATTTTGATACAATAATCTATGTGACTTACTTTATACATACATAAAAAGAATAAAGTTTGTTATGCCAAAACATTGTGCTTTATTATTTGTTAAACATTATCAACTGACAATTTTTTACCCTTTTTGCACCACTGATCACTATGGTGCCAATCATTTAGAGTCATCAACAATTATTGCATAGCTTCTAACTGCATCTAGCACTTCAATTTGTGTTACAGCCAAAAAGTAAACTGATAAACTGAAAGAGTGAGAAATGTTCTTTTATTTTATCAGTTTACTTTCTGTATTAACATAATTTTTAAAAAAGTTATTAGAGTTCAAAGTTGGGGTATTTTATAGTATTTTATTAATTGTTTGTAAATTTCAGACTAGGGATGCCTGATTCTTTTATGTAATATTGCATCTCAATAAACTAGATATTTTTATTTTCATTATTTGACTGAATTTGAACTTTAAAAATGCCTCTAGCTTCAAAACAAAAAGAAAAATCAAAAATCAATCAAGAGAATTAGATGGAAAGTTTGGCTCAAAAAAAATCAAAAATAGAAGTTAATTCTGGTGTTGAAATTGATTTGAATTTATTAAAAGATGTTGAGGTAAGCAATTTTCAAACATTTATGGATAATGGTATGGAAGAAATTGAGCTGCAAGAAGATGAATGGGGCGATTATGAGGATAGTGGATGGGAAAATGACTTAGATTTAGAACAAGAGAAAAAATGTAGAGATAGACTGATTAGTTCAAAACTTGAATTGACTTGGACTGACAATAATGAGTTGGAAAAAAGAAAAGAGGCTTATATATGAAAGGTAAAGTTCCAAAATCAACATTTTATGATAAATGGGGCCCAAATGGCTTATTTACAAAGGCAGCAGCTAGTACAAATAAGATTACAACCTATTTTTCAGTTCATAATAATCCATCTTCAGAAATAAATGAAAATCTTGAGTTAATAGAAAGTTCAAATGGATCTGATGATAATACTCTAGAGATTTAAAGTTATGAACATGATAACTATATTGTGCCATGGAACAACACTTAATTGATGAAACTAATTATGCTAACAAATTGAAAGCATCTGAAAGGAAAGTTTTTCACGGGTTTAGTTTGGTGTTTGGATGGAACAGAACTAGAGCCAGAAGGTGTTGATCAAAATCAAATTAAAAATGACACATCATTTACAATCTGCTTTGGTTAAAGCTATTCATGCCTTAAAAAATCCATAAAATTAATATTTGACTTTATAAAAAGGGCAAGAGCAAATGCAGTGAGCAAATTTATTTCAAAGAAAAATAGCAGAGAAACAAAATGGGCCAGACGAAGCAAGCGAGCATATAGATTTAGCTCACCAAGATATTGAAAATTTTAAGAGAAGAATCAGCTATTGGACAAGTACATGCTCAAGTAACAAGTGACTGACATAAAAGACAATTAGATGGCGAGAGTGTCCAAAGAAGAAATGAATTGTTTAATCAAATTTTGGAATTAGGGTGAAGGAAACGAAGGACTGAAACAAGTTATTGGTAGCAAATGGTTGAGCAAGAAATGACAACTAAAATAAAGATAATCTAATTCAATAACTAACTAAATGAAAAAAACTAGGGTTGGCCCGATGAACCGCAATTGAGTCTACCATGGTTTAATCCATAATTTAAATCATGGAACCGATAAATTCCAACGTTTAAACCAAATTTCAGCAGTTTTTTTTATAAATGATGACAGTTATTTTCCTGGCAATAATTATCTCCCTAAATTTGAAATTAATCAATTCGACCAATTAGAAAGATATTTAGCTTTACCATCAGTCAATCATATCTTCAGATTCATTACTTCGAGTTAAGAACTATGATTAAGGAGCAGTGGCCATCTTTGCTTGAGAATATTCTTCCTTCTTTGTAAGGTTGATAATAATGTAACTACATATACTAGCCAGCAAAACTTCATTGTATAAAAATGGGAATGGTGATAATGGTGATGATATGTTTCCGGATCAATTAATTTCTGAACATTTTCGTAACCAGCCTAGCCTCCTCATATTAAAGTTCATATTATTGTGCGATTGAACACCCAGCCACCCCATTAGTAATAGTGGATATGTATCTTTTTTATTTACGTCTGTAGTATGTAACTACGGTATAATTTTTTTTTTGTCATTTCGGCAAAATTTTTATTTCATGAAATAAAGGTTCTATGTAAAATTATGTTTTTATCTAAGATTAATTCGGAAAATTTGAAGTCATTTATCCGTATTAATATATACGTCAAATATGTCTCGCAAATCCAAAAATAACAAACGCAGAACTCAAGGCAAATACACTATGAATCCTACACAGTGTTCATAATATAAAAATAAGGATAAGTATACATATGCACCGAATTGACGAAAATTTTATAACTATCATAAATAAGAATACGGAAGATGTGAAGGCGATATTTGATTATGGTGAGGTATGTAGGTATTTAGAGGTAAATAATTTCGAATATGTATGGAATTGGATCTAACTTTTTTCAAATATTTATGTAGCTTTATTAACGGAAAAAATACAAAAAGAAGTAAATATAAAATTAAATCTATTCAAAATCTATGGGGACGATACCATTGAACTTTTTTCTATTTGTCTCTTAGATGTAGATTCTGGCGCGTGATGTAGCAGAGACACATTTACAATAATAATATTCTATAAATTCATAATAGTGTTAGATTTTTGTCACAAAGTGTCCTATTCAAAGAATGATGTCTTGCAAGTGGAATAAAGCAACAAACCCGTAAAATCAACAAAGCCTTTATAAATTCGATAGATCATACTCCCCCATTGGATTCACTGGAATTTCAGTTGAATATAACGATGAATTTCGTCTACACTTCTTGTAAGAACCTTCAGGTGTAATTCACGTCCTATGAAAGTTTTCTATCATTAAAAATGTTGGTCTGTCCAATACCATATGATAAATATAAAAATTTACTGAACCTGCAACCTGAATCACAACAATTCCTTCTCTGGTTTACATTTTCTACGAGCCCAATACAAACCATCATTTGTTTCCCGCCATAATTTTACCCTTGTATTGTACTTCAGACATTATATCCGGTTGTCTACCTGTTTTGTCCTTACCTTTTCTATTCTTGCTAGCAATGCTCTGGCGTTCATATCTAAAAAATAGCTTTGAGGATATAATCTTTAAACATTGTATTGATAAATAACACAACTTACGTGCTAATAAATGAGGACTTTCTAGAAGGGATATTTAATAATTATATAGGCGGGTTTGATCGAAGCAAGTGTTAGTCAAGATCTATGAAGCTTGCAAAACAAATTTTTATCAATTATTCAATAATTATATAGGCGGGTTTTATCGAAGTAAGTAAGATCTATGAAGCATGCAAAACGAATGTTTATCAATTATTCAATAATTGTGTGGGCGGGTTTGATCGAAGCAAATGTTAGTCAAGATCTATGAAGCTTGCAAAACGAATGTTTATAATTATTCAATAATTATATAGGCGGGTTTGATTGAAGCAAGTGTTAAAGACAATCTATACATTTTATTTATTATTTTTATAATACAAGTATATTACACATTACGTACATTATACGCGGAATCAAAAACATACTAGTGCTAGAACCTTTTCAGTATTAGTACTAATATGTTAAAAATACAGAATTAAAGCGTACCTTTTCATATTTAGTATGTTGCAAATTTCGTACCTTATATACAGAATCAAAAAAGTACCTTTTCAGTATAAATTTTTTACGTTACAAAATTTCCTTTTAGGGATAACGATTTGACGATTTTTGACGACAAATAAAATCATCCCATCATATTTAAAATGTATAGGCTCGATAACCAAACATGCAAGAGTAAAAATATTTACCCCAAAGCTTGAAGAATAAGCTGACAGAGAGTTTTTTTAATTTTAGTATTAAAAACTTTTACAAGGGTTTAAAGTTCTTATATAAAATTTCCTGTTAACATTAATATTAAGGACGATTTTGACAACAACAGATAAAACGTTTGTGTAATATTAAAAAATCTGTATATATGATGTTATGACCAACTGCCATGGGCTTCTGCATCTCAAGTTTGTGCGTTTTGATGCATTTGATGTGTCCATTGGCGATGATAATAATTGGTTCCAACCTTCAATCCTCCCCTCTGGGCATTGATACGTGTGACCGATAAATGCAACTGTATAGAGAAACAATATTGACTTTATTTTCTATTTTCAGTCTTTACACAATGTTACAATGAATTTAATGAATTGAATTGTAATACTTTAGATCTAGGAAACTCAGTTCAAGTTTACTATTACCATAAAAAATAGTCAGATCACTAAACACGTGATAGGACTCATTTAAATATTTTGGTAACCACTATTTAATTTGTTTGTGATTGACAGATTTTTTAGATTTTCAACAAAACCTCTTATTCTTTCTTTAAAAATCAGGAGAAGTTTTGAATTAAACATTTTTATACTAAAAAACAATTCAAAAAAAAACAACAGCAACAACAATAAAAGACAATAGAAATCATGAGTGGACTAACTAATTCGCTTAACACTGAACTCTTACAACTTTCAAATGAAGCACGGCGCAAGCATCCTGAAATTAAAGAGGTACTTATTTACTTATTACTGATTCATCTAATTATAAGAAACATAATGTTAATTGAATCTTCATAAGGCTGCAGAGAGATCACTAATTATTTTACGAACACTTAAAGAACGACCTGGCATGGATATTTCACAAGGTGATAATAATAAAAATTATACGTCATTAGTGATTATTTATCGGAAAATTCATTAAAAAACCTTGTTATTTGATTAATTTATATTGGTGTATATAAAAGAATTGGCAAAAAATACCGACTTTCTTAGACCTTTTCTTCTGGCTTGTGAAACAAAGCATGTAAAGTTAATTACTACTTCTATAGGATGCTTACACAAATTAATATCACATCGTGCAATATCAGAGGTGTGTTTATGATATTTCCAAATGATTCTTTTTTGTAATTATTCATACTTGATTGTGTGAATTTAGCTTTACATGATATGTCATGATTTAGAATATTGTACATTTATTAGTCTTCTGTTAAAACGATTCTCAAAATACTTAATGACGTAATGTCACAAGGTGTTGTTGAAATACAACTCAAGATTCTACAAACTGTTCCACCATTGTTGAGTAATTATCATACATTACATGGAGATCTGTTAGCTGAGGTAAAGCTTTAAATTTTTTTAATATTAATATTAGTGTGTTTGTAACAGATATTTAGAAAATTCTTTTTTTTCCTCACATAAATATTATTATTTTTAATTATCATAATAACAAAAAAATTTAAGGCATTGTTACTTTGTTTTCGTCTCCAAGACTCAAAAATATTAGTAGTTAATAACACAGCAGCAGCTACTTTACGTCAATTAGTAATAAATGTCTTTGACAAAGTTCAAGAAGAGGATGAGATTAATGCTAGAGATGGTAGATCTGTATAAGAGTTATTATAGTTAAAATAATAATTATTCATATATATGAAATTAAATATAAACATATATTAAATTAATATTTTTCTAATGAATGCATAATAAAATAATCATCAAGGGTCAATTAAGCCTACATCTACAACAGTGTCAATACATGGAGAAGGTGTTATAGCACTTCTTCCATGTGCAAAGGATGCATACTGTCTTTTTCAAGACTTATGTTTATTAACTAACGGTGAAAATCCCATGTACCTTAAATTATATAGTTTATCAAGGACTTTTGGTCTGGAATTAATTGAATCAATTCTAACAAATCATTCAAAGCTATTTAAATCAGTTTGTATCACATTTATTCGGGAGAAATTATATATTCTTTATTCAAAAACATTTTTACTAAAATTATAAACTTTATATAGCATCCAGAATTAACTTATTTATTGAGAGAACGCGTCTGTCCACTGATCATAAAAAATTTATCTGATAAACATGATTTTCCTCAGACAATGCGATTAATGCGAGTTGTATATATTTTAATTAGAAGATTCAATGACGTTTTGGTAAATAGTAATAATCGAAAAAAAAATTTAATAATTATTTTTTAATTTATATGTATTTATTTCTCTTTTTGTAGGTTATGGAATGTGAAATATTTTTATCTCTTTTTATAAAAATTCTTGATCCTGATAATCCATTGTGGCAACGCGTTATTTCAATGGAAATTTTTCGTGGCATATGTGTAGATGGTGAATTATTGCGTTCAATATATCGTAATTATGATAAGAGTAGTCATTCAACAAATGTATTTCATGATATGATTAATTCTTTTGGAAAACTGGCTGCTGAAAAACCTCAAACTTTGAGCACCGGGATACATTCATTTATAGGTAATTTACATCAAGGTAGAGAAAACATAGATATTACTGGAATGGCAACTGCTGCAATAGGAAATTCTGTTCATGGTGAATATCCTTCTATGACTGTTGTAAATTCAACAATGAAAGTACAATGGTATGATGAAATTGAAAATTAATGGTGAAACAAAAATAATATACACTGGTTTTTTATTT